CAAGAATTGGTTCAGCTTGCTCAAGTTTTCATTTTATAATTCTTCCTATTCTTTGCCAGTTCTCCAGATCTAATGTTTCCCCTTCTGGAAATCATGGATTAGGATCAATATGTGTCTAAACATTGATCTAAATTGTCTTGATTAATTTTAACTCCCCTTAACCTCAACTTATTACTCATTAAAGAGACCTACTGTTCCTGGACACTTTGGGAATCCCAAAGTTGTTGCGAGCTTACCAGTTGTGAGCCAGTATGTTCCCAGGTAATGCACTTCTTTGTGGAACCAAAATGCTTTGGCTTTGGGGACCTGGAAAGAAGGTCACTGGGAGAAAGAGAAAGGATTCTGGGCTCACTTCAAGAATAAACAATTTTTACTTTGCCCACTGCTGTTTGTATCTTGTTTCACTAGGTACTGGAGATAGCATTGCAAGCAGAGCTTGGGCAAACAGTATCTTTGCCTTCTCACTGGAGTTCATCCTTCAGCACATCTCTGCCCTCATAGCCTTCTTTTGCCCTGGAGGAGATTTCTCCTAGGCCTTATCTCATGCCAGCAGTTTTCTGTAGTCACATGGCCATGTGTGGATCAGGGTTTGTGCTGGAGAAAGGAGCTGCAGACCATCTGGAGAAGAACAAGAAAGGCCTATGGGTCCAGGTGACTGAATTCCTGCAAGGGAAACAGCCCTTGGATTCTGGGGCTGTGTCTCCAGACAAAAGGAAGCCAGGGTTCCTGAGATGCCAGGGATCTGATTCCAGCCAGAGTCTAAGATGGCAGATGAGTGGTGACCTTTAGGAATTGTTTGTCCCATCTGCAATGAGATGGAGAGGGAGAAACAGAGAAGTCTTGGGGCACGGAGTTGACCTCTCCCTGCCCTCTTTCCCTAGTCCACTTGGATGGGTGTGTCCAGACTGTCAACAGAGAGTAGCTAGTACTGTAGTGTGTCCTGGGGAGAGGTCAGACTAAATAGTGGGATCCTGCACTTTACTCAGGGCTCAGTCCCCTACCACTTCTCTGTTTCCTTCTTTAGTAAACCACATAAACTCTGAGAGAAACCAAAAGTCCCATTACCCACGTATGGCCACTGCTCTGCTCCAGCCTCTCATGACCCAGGGAAAGGTGCAGAGCCAGGTAGGTACTGAAAGGAATCAGGTGGCTCCAGCCCATCAGCCCAAGAGCCAGTCATCCACCCACCAATTCAGAAGTGCTAGTCAGTAATTGAAATTCTAATCCCAAGAGGGAAGAATCAGGGCTACCCATGTTCCTTTAACCCTGCTTCAATTCCTTCCCTGGAAGAAATAGTTTGATCCCTGAATACTTCTGCAGCACATGCTCATGCCCATTAGGGGGCAATGATGAGCTGATCTTGAGAGGACATTGCTGTTGGCAAGACCAAGTCATTAAGACATCACTACTTCCTTCCACACACTTGCACAGGTGCTGATGCCTTTGAGGAGCATTACCCAAGAGCTACCCTGTTGTCTGCTTCCTGATCCTTGGTCCCATTGGCCACATGAATAGTGAACTCATAACTCTGTTTTATTCTTCCTCTTTTATCCCAATTGACCCATTGTCTGGGAAGATATTTCTACCAACCAAAAAATCTAATGATTTCATGGACTGTACCTACTTAGTATATAATAAAGACCCAGAAACTAAACATTTTCAAGTTCAAGAACTTAGTATCAGCATATACAATTTTATATCTTCTTCTCTATTGCTAGGTTCCTCAAGCACTGCAAATAGTCAACTGTTAGATAAGGGATTCCCTTAGAATGCAAGTTGAAGATTTTAGCATCTATATTTCCGTTTCTTCAGTCTTAATATGTGGGCAGCAGATGGAAGTCAATCTATATATCAACCGAGTGTGTGTGTGCATCAGTCATATACATGGTGTGTGAATACAAAGTATAATGTAACATATATATGAATCAGAGACAGGCCCATTCAAATACTCAGGAATCCGATAAAACACTACACGGAAATCCATTGTGGATATGCAGAGTATAAGTATCCAAGGAGGCCAGAAGAGGCCATCCAATCCCTGACAGCTGGAATTACGAAGGTCCCAAACTGTCTGACACAGGTGCTGAGAATCAAACTCAAGTCCTCTGCAGGAGCAGCAAGCCTTCTTTACTGCTGAGCCATCTCTCCAACCCCAATAATAAATTCTTATCTAGAAATGATCACCATTATAACCACTGGTCCTCCACAGTAAAGAAGCATGTGCCTGTCAAACCAGGCACTGTTTTTTTATGCAAAAGTAAACTGGGTGGCACACTGCTTTACTTGGCACTAAAGGACAATTCATGTTCCCTCAGACTCCAGATTGTTGTGTGGTATTTTGATTGTGTTCTAAAAAAAACTTGCTTGGAGTCCAAGGGTGGAGCTAGCTACTAGCTGACCAAAATTAACCACAGAGATTTGGAGGACTGTAGACAGATAGGCAGGAGGTAGTAAGGTAGGCTGAGAGGATCTCAGACCTATTGGAGGAAGGAACGGAAGAGGGGAAGAGGTGGGAGGTGACTGGTGGCTGCTCCCCTGCTTCTCTGATCTTTCAGGTTTTTAATCCTGATATCTGACCCTCTATTTTTTATTGATAAAAATAATTAGATAAACACTTCACCAGTTAGAACCTATGTGGACCACAGGTGGTGGTGGCACATGTCTTTAATCCCAGCATACAGGAGGCAGAGGCAGGCAGATCTTTGTGAATTCAAGGCCAGCCTTGTCTACAGAGCAAGTTCCAGGACAGCCAAGGCTGTTACATGGAGAAATCCTGTCTCAAAAACAAAGACAAACCAAATAGGGCCTATGTGACTTCCCAAATGGCCCCACTGTTGGTAGGAGGGAGGCCTAATAGTCACACATCACATGGTAAGAAATGGTTGTTTGGGGGATTAATATAGCCAAGCACTGACTAGTATTCCAGCTTTTCTGATGTTTTTCCTTTACTTTCGGGTTTTTCTGTCCTGCCATTTGGTGGAGCCCATATCCTCCCCATGTGTAGTCTTTCCACTTCTCAGTCAGACCCAGTCTGGAGTAAAAGAAGGGGCCAGGAAGAGGAGTATTTGCACGGAGCCACCCTATCCCAAGGGACAGATAAGAAGGGGTACCCAGCTACAGTCAGTCCGTTGGACACAGGAAGCAGAATCTGGGAGTCTTCACCTTGACGTGGGCTCCATTACTCCTCCTCTTCCTTTATCACTTAACAGGTGGGTGGGTTTACGGAATTCTGGGAGAGTGACTGTTGTTTGGGTTGATGGGTCCATCTTCATTCATCCTGGGGAATGACATTTGCTTGTCCTTACTGAGTTTTATTATCTTTTTACAGGGTCCTGTGCCCATTTTGTGCCGACTCAGGTAAACTGTGTCAAGAACAGCCACCATCTCCTGCAAGTGCAGCAGTGGCAATATTGCAAAGGCCTTTGTGCATCGGTACCAGCATCCCTTTGGAAGTCCCCCACCTCTGTGCTCTATGATGATGGTGATAGAGCATCTGGGGTTCCTGATGGGTTCTCTGGCTCCATTGACAGCTCCTCCAACTCAGTCTCATTGACGATCACTGTCTGCAGATTGAAGATGAGGCTGACTGCTACTGTCAGTCCTCTGGTAGCGGCTTTAGTCACAGTGCAGAGAATCATGGAGCAATTGAGACACTCCCATCCCCAGCAGCAGCTGTGAAACACTTTTTGAAAAGGACTATTGTTGTTTCATGTCTCCTATAAAAGTACTGCTGTTGGGGTTCCCAAGTCATAAGAGAAAAATGCTTCTAGGTTCACAGGAAGACTCCACTTTCTCATCCCACATATGGATAGCTGACCTCTTCACACATTTAGTAGTGTGCTGTCTAGTTTTATGTAAACTTGACATTAGAGTCATGAGAGAAGATGGAGCCTCAGTTGAGAAAATGTCTCCGTAAGATTGGGTTGTAGGAAAGGACATTTTCTTCATTAGTAATAGATGGGAAGGGAGGCAGCCCATTGTTTATGGTACCAAAACTGTCCTGGTGGTCCTATAAGAAATCACTCTGAGCAAGCCATGAGGAGCAAGCCAGAAGCAACACTCCTCCATGGTCTCTGCACCAGCCCCTTCCTCTAGGTTTCTGCCCTGCTTGAGTTCCTGTCCTGAATTTGTTCAGTAATCCACTATGGTGTGGACATGTCAGCCAATTAAACCTCTGCTCCCCAACTTGCTTTGGGTCATGGTGTTTCACCACAGAACTAACAATACTAAGACAGGTTTAGTCCATGGAGTATGTATGGTAGAAAACAGGGGTTCTGGAGCACAATCCTACTGACATTTGGTGTCTGAGACTTCTTTACACATATGAGGTACTTAGCATCATCTCTGAGCATGAATCACTTTTTCATGTTTTCCCTCCATTATAACATCACTAACTCCCTGTACTGCAAAAATGTATCTGTAATAGGAAAGTGCCATGCTTTGGCAAAGCCACTATTGCAAGAATTTGTTGAAAGGTATTAAGGAGTCCCTGGCTCTTACTCTCACTTATGTCACTAAGGCACAAGGACAAGGTTTTATCTCCCTGCGTTTCTGTCCCCAATTAGTAAGCAAAACAATAGCACTGAATTCAAGTGACTATTCTGATGAGAGGGTCATATCCTAATGAGGACATCTGTGGTATCCATCTCTATAGAGGACCCAACCAAGGTCTATGATATAATGTTAAGGGAAGACGTAGCGTGCATGTAAATGTTAAAACTTACATACAGTAGGTCTACATATGTAACAGAGCTCTCCCATCCCATGAACTATCTGTCATCTGTAAGGCTCTGAAGAGCATGGTCCTGGAATAATGAAAGGTGACAAAGTGTGTTCAGTGTAGGAACCAAAGAAAACCACAAATCCTGTATTATTAAGGATTATATCTATGAAATCATACAGAAGACCTAGGCTCACATTAGAAAGATACGTAGTGGCCAAACACAAGCTCCATTATATCTAAGCATGAGTTAAATGACATTGAGAAGGGAAACAAATAATTCAAAAATGCAACTGAATAAACTTTATGAAAATGGTGACAGTTTCCAAACTCCTTAGAGGTAGGAAGTCTACAAGTTTGAAAAAGAAATTTTGGTAACCTCACATATTTTACTGTCATTTTATAAAGTTAACTGTGAAGAACAATATATGTGGTGCTGATTTGAGGAAGTTGTCTGCTGTAATGTTTTCTGTAGTGTCTAGCATCATTCCCTCAAGTCCTTATCACATCTCTGATCATCAGCATATGATGAGCTGTACAGCACTCTCAAAGCCACATGTGCTGGAACCGTCTGTGAGTCATCAGGTATGTCTTCTGAGGATCAAGTACAGAGGGCCAGAAAAGGACCTGTTGAAGTATCCAAGCATGTGTGTCTATCCCTGCTAATTGTTTAGTGAGTCCTTCCAATGCTTGCGGGGAAGCCGAGACAGCTGTTAGTTCTGAGATGATGTGCTGAGACAGTTGTTAATTCTCTGAGATGACGTGAGATGACTGCAGCTGTCAGGAAGTCCTGGAGCTCAGTTGTATCTGTTAACCCTGTTGAGGCCAGGTAAGGTGATGTCCTCATTTTCCTTTGCTTCTCAGAGCCGCTGTCTAGCCCAGGTGTGCTAGAGGAGTGTAGAGACAAAGGACACACCTGGATACCACTGGAACTTGTAGGGTCTAAGAGAGATTCGGGGAACCCTAATGACCCTGCTGGACCCTCAGTTTGCATGACAGTCATGTCTCTGCCCCAGTACCTGCCTGTCTTTTAAACCTACTCCCCTACCTTCTGCACATGTGTGGTAGTTTGAATGTAATTGGCAATCATAATCAAATAGGGAGTGGCACTAATTGGAGGTGTGGCTTTGTTGGAGTAGGTATGGCCTTGTTGGAGGAAGTGTGTCACTGTATGGGCAGGCTTTGAGGCTTCCTTTGCTCAGGATACTGTCCTGTATCTCAGTTGGCTTCCTGTTGCCTGCAAGATATAGGACTCGCAGCTACTCCTCCAGCACCATGTCTGCCTTCGTGCTACCATGCTCCCCACCATGATGATAATGAACTAAACCTCTGAAACTGTAAGTGACCCCCCTCAATTAAATGCTTTCCTTATAAGAGTTGCCATGGTCATGGTGTCTATTCACAGCAATAGAAACCCAACATTCCTTTGGTGACAAAACATGAAGACCCTAGCACTCTTCTGCTGTACCCTCACTCACCCAGCTCATAACTGCCTCTGAGTATCCAACCATCTATTGTTTGAAATCTGGGACAAGGATCTCATTGTCTGTTAGCCATCAGGTTCTCCAGGAGAGCAGCCACAGTCATTGGTATCAGACAGCAGCAACGTTGTTATGGTCAGTTAGGACGAAGCTTGGCAACAGCACTTGAGACATGTCTCCAAACTCCAGATCCTCAAGAAGATCCATGAGCCCTCAGGGAACATACTTTCTTTGGCTCCTGGCCTCTCAGACAATCTATGGACTCCATCCTGAGGACAATACAAAGTATTTCTATTTACCACAGGACAACAAAATTGATGCAAACATTTCATTAGAGGCCCACAAGGAGCTGAGCTTTAAACAAAAATAAGATTTCTTGTGTTGTTTTTCACACTGTGCATAGTAGCTCATTGCAAAAACATGTGGATGTTTTGGTAGAAATATTTTGAGTCAAAGAGGGTCTTGGTAAAGCTGCAACCCAATTATACAACTCAATAAAATCAGTTAATCTTGTTTTGAGTGACTCATCCAACATTTAAATTCCACTCAGTTTTAAACCCATTAATATGTTTGTTTGTGGGTTGTTCACATATTAATGAAAATAATAAATTAGGCTACATATGTTTACTTATCCTCTGATTTATTTTACTAGCAGAATGAAAACAATAACTGCCTGGGATAGATGAACTACTCACTCACACAATTATCGTCCTTGCAATCTTCCAGTTTCAAGTAAGTTTCCATTTTCCAGATTATTAAACATTATTTTATATATTTCCCCTTTCTGATGTCTTTCCCATATCTCTGCTATAGATAATGAGCTCCTCATGGGAAGAGTGAGGAAAGCACTAAGAGTACATTGAGGCAACAATGTAAAGAGTGGGATTAGTTAGATAAAACATGTAATAAATTATGTGAAAAACCTGTCTCCTGCTGCAATCATGACAGTGAAGAATAAGAGAACAGATCAATTTTGGATCATCATAGAGCAGGGACAGGAAGACTTGGAGAACTGTCTGTGCAAATAGAGCAAAGGTACGAAGCTAAGATGACTCCACTCTTTGGTCAGGGATTTGAATAAACTCTCACAGGGCATAATGCATGGGCAGTGCAATCTTGTTTTGGTTGAATATTTAAGACCAACTTAGATGATATATAAACAGTAAAAAAATATTATGGAAACATTTCAAGAAAACAGGAACTGTTAACCAAATTATTAAACATGTGCTATGTTGGTCCATGTTGGACATGCAGATTGCTGACAAGGTGTTTGTGGTGTGAAAGATGAGAAGGCTGATGATATTCACAAACTGTTGGATTCTCTGGGGAATAAAGCAGACAGTTTAGAAAGCAGCTGTCCTGTGAGGTGGGCAACTGTGGGTGGTATTTCAATTTCAGTAGAAGAGAGAATAGAACTGGAGGGAAGAGAAAAGATAAGGGCAGAGAAAGTGAGCAGCAGGGAGGAACTTAGATCAGAACAAAGTGAGTGGGAATCCTTGGGTAGGTGGGGGCTTAGCTATGACTACAGAATGAGAGGAGGAACTGAGAGGAGGAACCAAGGCTAAAGACAGAGAGCACAAGAAAATCTGCACTATACTTTGAGGCAGCATCCAAATCATTTGAGAGAGACAGAGCTGCAGAGACAAAGGTCTTCCCTGACTTGTCCAAATGTGGAATGAGTGTCTTCTAAGAGATGGTCTACAGAATTCTTTGGCTTGAAGGGGAAATTACTTTGAGAAAACCTGCCTGAGGTGGGGGTCACTTCCTCAGCCACACTCTTAGAATGGAAAGTCCTCCTAGAGTTTTCAGGTAGGAGGGAGTTTGCAGTTAGTATTCGAAGGAATGGGGATGCAGAGCTGCAGTGTCCTTCCACAAGCCCAGAAAAAGTGGCTGCTGCCTGCCTAGGGAAGATGCACTCACTCTGAGACAGGAAGAGCAGAGTAAGAACTGCCCACAGCCTACAAACTGCACCCTCTGTGTAAAGGACAAAAGGTCCTTGTGCACACAGATAAGCACTGGGGAAACCAGGAAAGTTAAACACCCATACCTACCTTTCTCTTCCGAGGAAGATGCTACCCATCCTCCTCCCAGGATTCGGGAAAGGACATAGTTTACAACCTATGCCATCCGTACAGACAGGCTTCACCCTTATCACCCAGACCTTATGTTCAGTTTATCCCAGACTCTTTCCCCTTAAATCCTGACCATTGCTTCCAGGCCATAAAATCCATACAGGTGAGAGATGTCACCTCTACTTTACAACTTCTTTGTCATCTAAGGGCCAGGTCAATCCTGACTTCAATAGGCATTATGTTTACCTCATTCTAGACCCTCAACCTTGAGCACTGTTTCTGAGTCAACAGTCCCCATCTTTTTGAAAGAAGCCAGGTGTACTTTGTAAAGAATTTCAGTGTAAACATGTCTTAAGTTTGTGATGCTCATGGAACTGAGTTAATTGTTGCCAGAAAACTTTTTTCTCCAAAATTGGGCTGTGCTTAAATACAGACAAAATAAACTAGTGTCAGACTCTGGAAGTTTGGCCTAGCACCAGCTACCTAATTTGGGCTGAACCAAGTTTCATTCTTACCTCATCCAGATTGTTTCCTTGCCTGCCATAAAGCCTGCAGGGAACACCCCCGACACACCCCAACACATCTTTTGTTGTTAGGAAAGCCACACACATATCTATAGAAGAGAAGAGATCACAGAGAAGCACCTGTCCTTCAGTGGCATCAACCTAACCAACAGAAGGAAAGGCCAGGTAGCATCCAGCCAGGCTCTACATACCTGCTCACACAAATGAATCACCTGTGGATTAAAAGCAGCTTGCTTTCTTATTTGATGTGATACAAAGTCAATGAACATCTATAAAGTTAGATTAGGCATTCTGAACAAGGCTGTGCAGTTCCACAATATATTTTGCACTTTAATATCAAATATATTTATGTACTTATCCACCACCCCCCAAAAATTGAACAACAGAGTTAGAACTAGGAAATCATTTAACCTTATGTCCCTTTTCATTGTTCATGACCACCACCTGCATTTAGTCCGGCCACATCCCCTTAAATTATCCTTTCTTATTCTCTTTTCTTCATGCTATATTGTAGCCACATGTATTTTGTTTATGAACATACATATATTATTGACTAGATTCCACATATGAGAGGACATAAGGTTTTTTAGTTCTCAGATTCTTCAGTTTCACTTAATACTACACATTCTAAGTCCATCAATTTTCCTCCAAATTTTGAGATTTTATTTTTCCTTAGGAAAAGAATATACAGTGTGTATACCAAAGTTTCACTCTCCATTCATCTGTTGATAGACCATGAATAATATTCCTTTTTCCTCCACATCCTCTCCTCTCCACCATTTGGTGGAGGCAGCCATTCTAACTGGGTGAGGTGGTATCTCAAAGTAGTTTTAATTTGAATTTCCCCAGTGACTAGGAATATTGAACATTTAAAAAAAAAAAAAGTTACTAGCAATTTGTGTTTCTGGTTTTAAAAACTATCATTCAGCTTATTGCTCATTTACTGATTGGCAGTTTTACTTCCCTAGTATTTAACATCTGTAATTCTTTGTAAATCCCAGCTTTCAGCCCCTTGTCTGAAGCTGCTGGTAAAGATTGTCTCCCATCTGTAACTGATGGTTAACTCTGCTGACTACTTCCTTCGTTGTACAGAAACTTTTTGTTTTCGTGTGCCCCTATGTTGATACTTGGGGTTGGCTCCTGTGCTGCTGGTGTTCTATGGAAAAAGCTCTTGCCTACTGTAATATCTTGTAGGGCCTTCCCTGTATTATCTTATGAAAGTTTCAGTGTTGGAGGTTTTAAAGTAAAGTCTCTGACCCATTTTGTATGGTTTCTTTCTACAAGGTGAAAACTATAAATCTAATTTCATCTTCTACAGGAAGAAATCCAGTTTTGCCAACATCATTTGTGGAATAGGCTATCTTTATTCTAAGCATGTTTTTGCTTCATTGTCAAAAATTAGTTGGGCATGTATCTTTGCAGTTATATTTCTGGGTCCTTCTTCTATCCCATTGGTCCACCCATCCATTTTCAATGCCATAACCAGGCTGTCTTTATAGTATAATTTGACATAAAGTATTGCAATGCTCTATTCCTGCAAGGGAAGCAGGTAGGCTTACTGCAGACCTTCATCTTTCCTTCTGTTCCTCCAAGTCAAATACCCCAGTCTCACCGCCAGCTCTGCAAGAGAGCCCCTGCTTAGGCTTCCTTCCCCTTCCCCCACCTCCAGCTGATCCCACAGATCTTTCCCTCCTAGCCTCCCTCCCCTCATTTGCTTTATCCCACCCCCAACTCCAGCAGGCACTCCCTGCAAACACTCCTGCCAGGGAAGCAGGTAGGCTGCCACCAGATCCTCAGCTCTCCCTCCATTCTGACAAGTCCAAACCCCAGTCTCCTCCCCAGCTGTGTAGTAGACCTTCTGCTGTGCCCTCTCCTCACTCCCTGCCCCCATTCCCAGGGGAGTAACTAAGCAGATCCTGATGGAACACCTAGCTTTCCACCCTCTTGGGAAGCCCCAGCCCACTCCCATTCCTAAGCCTCAGGTCCCAATATCCAGAAATACATTTTACCTGGAACTCTCAGTAACTACACCTGTCAAACCCCAGAAGATTTTCCTATGGGAAATACAGCCACCACACTCATACAGGAAACAAAAACCATGGAACAAAATACCCACCCAACATGTAAGACCAAATATCAGCACCTAAAATTACAATCTCCCTAATTTCAGATGCCAAGATGCCAGTATCGAAACACAATAACAAACAGGACAATATGTCTACATTTGAGCCAGCAACCCTACCACTGCAGGCACACAACAGTTCAACATACCTGAGGCACAGAAGAAAGACTATAAAATAGCCTTTATGAATATGATAGATGTCCTTAAAGAGAAAAACTTATAAATCCCTTTTAAATTATGAAAGCACAAATAATAGTGAAAGGAAATGATTAAAACAGTCCAAGGTGTGAAAGTAGAAATAGAATCAATAAAGAGAACCCAAATTGCAGGAAAGCTAGATATGAAAAATTTAGAAACTCAAACAGAAAACTCAGAGGCTAGTGGTGGTGGCACAAACCTTCAATCCCAGCATTTGGGAGGCAGAGGCAAGCAGATCTGTGAGTTCCAGGCCAGCCTGGTCAACAGAGAGAGTTCCAGGACAGACTCCAAAGCTACACAGAGAAACCCTGTCTCAAAACCAAACAAAGAAAAAAAAAAAACCCTCAGG